TGTGTATATATATATATATATATATATATATATATATGTTATGTACGCGTGAATATGTACGTACGCACGTGCATATGTACTTATGCATGGATATGATTAATCATCATCACCGACCAACCAGGCAGTCTCACGTGAATGCATTAAGCTCTGTGCTTACAAACACACAACTCCATTGTTGCTCAAACCTGTATAAACACCCTTGGTTCTTTTTCATCATTCAATAAACAATTCACCAAGGTTAACTAGATACATTATATGTGTATATATATATATATATATATATCTATCAACTCATTTCAGCATTTATAACAATCACCAACTTCACCCCTGCAACCCCACAATCCTCTTTCAGAGCAAATAAATAAACTGATCAATAGACCGTTCATATTTGTATTATCATAATGTACAGAGTTACAATGCTATATAGAGAAGGGAATACAAAAGAATTGAAGAATCAGCAGAGGGCACAAGGCCAAATTACAAGCTGGAAATCTGATCAGATCCAACATCTGACCTGACATTTGAACTCTCAAAACGGAATGCAAATGACTTTGCCAGCTCCACAGCATCTTGAACTCGGAGTCGGGTCCCTTGCTGCCCGACAACCGTAGCTGCAATCCTAGCTGCTAATGTACCCATGCCTTTTAAATCAGACATGCCTCTTAATATACCATACAAAATTCCAGATGCATATGCATCCCCAGCACCACAAGTATCTACTGGCGCACATGGAGAAGGAGGGATATATACAGCTTCTCCCTTTACACCAATGTATGAGCCTCTTTGCCCATCAGTAACAGACACAAAAGGAACAAAGTGGCTCAGATACTGGGCGGCTGAAATGGGATTTTCCTTTGACGAAAATTGACAGAAAGCTCTTGCCTCATCACTATTTGCAAACACAATGTCGGCGTAATTACCAATAATATCCCTGGACAAGAGAGAAGAGAAGAAATATCCATTTACCTATATAACAAATGAAGAACGTGACAAAAGTACTTTATTAGTACAAGTTGTCTAGCAAAGTCAAAAGTGGTGGGGCAAAGAGTACAACAACCCATCAAAGAGGATTTCCTAAAATAGATAGTTTTGTACTTTTCGAAATAATTTTAGGACACTGCAATTTGTCTTCATAGCTTTTCAATTCAGTTCATGTTTTTGATGGCTTACTAACTCAATTGAATGTATCACAAGTGTTATATGAACTTCCCCAAATCCCAATACTAACCTTACCAGGATCTGGAAAACTAATACTAAATTGGTACAGCTTTGAAAACTGAATACAAACCAAATTCAGTATAAATAAGTAGTAATTCTTGTGAATAGCAATGTCAATAGAAGGAAATTAAGGGGTATAAACTATAGCTAGCTATAACTCAAGGAATTAAAGAGGAATACCAGGATTGGTGTCAGAGAAAATTTCTAAAAGAAATTTCGTATAGTATTCGTTGTTGTTATTAAAAGATAGCAGAGATTTTAGAGATGTAAGTAAGGTGACTAAACTACATTATTTTGTTGAGTTCTTCCTTTTCCCCCTCTAAAATTTTGCTGATATCCCTAAGAAATTAAAAACTTTAAGATGTTGATCAACAACACTAACGTGAGAGAACAATAAATGTATCTGAATAATATCTATTCCCTTAATATATATGAAATACAAAAAAACATAAATGGGGGCGAGCATTTGCTATCAGTCACATACATATCCCAATTATGATTTAGCAAAATTAATTATCTAAAATGTTGTGTTGTTCTGTATCAGAAGTATCTTTTAGTTAAAGAAAAAAGGGGGTTTTGAGAAAGAAGGAAATGAAGATTTTGACAGAATCTGAGACCTAGCTTGCAACTTCAAAATGTTCTCCAACATGAGAATTTATTGTCGTGCTCCATCAGCCATCATGGAAACATTACTTTCCAAAGATGATGGAAATATTTTCAGATTAACACCAAACAGAAACTCTGACATTGTAATATGAGGATTGCAGTCATTCGTCATGAGCAGCTTGCATCTCAGGAGGATATAGTTTACAACTAAAACAATTTTCATTATATTTCGTGATCATATTTTTGCATTGAACAGATGAAATGTAGGAAAAAAAATCAACATCCAGCAACAGAAGCACGCAAGAAACCTCTAAATATGACTGTCAAATAATATAGCAATTTTACCAGAAATCATCATAGTGTCTCTCAATGCAGGATACATCTGATGCTGTGACTGCAACAAGTGCCCCGCTCCTGTGTGCTTCTTCACATGCTTTTGTTAATGTTCTTATTGTATCGGGAAGTTCAAATAAATAGCCTTCAACAATTAATATGTTTGCCTTCGAAATCATGCTAGCCAAGCAAGAATCATAACTAACTGTAGAAGATGTACCCTGATATTTACAGATAAAATAATTGAGGATCTCAGTCAATTCATTTTGCATGCCACATAAATACAATAAAACAAACTAGAGTAACTACAGTTGCATTCAGTTCAAGAAAATGTTTCTATTTC